AAAACAAAGCAATAAAGAGTTCCATTGTGCCTTTAAATTACAAATTTTAAATTTTTTGACTTAGGTAAGAGTCTAATTTCCTTTTGAGTATCAAAATGCCATAACCCAATTACAATATCCAAACTGCTGCTACTATTTTGTGTCTAGTTTGGAGAAAATTAAATGTAAATTAAAATCTCAAAGAAGTCTATATTTTCTACTAGGTAGTTGTCTGCTTTGCACAAAGCAGCAGAGACAATTTTCCTTTTAATTTTCCCCCATGAAAAGTCCATTTCTGAACTGTTTGGCTTATGAAACTAGGTGAGTCCAGAACACTAGTGGTCAAATTTTAAGACTCCAGCAGCATCATAACCTCACCTTTTGTCTCAGAATTCAAGAATAAAAACCACTAACTCTCTAAAAGAAGTCAAAAGACACAGCAAGCCTACGATCCAGGTACTCAGAAGCAAACCCTAGACCGCAGTCTGCTTTTTTTCCGGGAAATGTGATCCCCAGCTTCCCTGAACGTGTATTTATCTTAATTTTATCATAAAAACAAAGATTTTTTTCACCGTTAAAAAATCATATCTTTTAGTAATGATTTTAAAGTATTTTTAAACTACTAATAGAACTTGAATTTTTTAAAAAAGACGATGCTCTTTGCAGGGGCAAGAAAGGTGAAAGGAAGGAGCAGATCATCTACATCGAGATTTGAAAGACACTTGTAGCTGCGAAGCTTCATTTAGCATGGAGCACAGGAGAGAAATTCTGTTCCTGGTGACAGCGCAGTGGGAATTCCCACTCCAACAACCCATGAAATGTTACTGCATAATTATTCACCTTCTGAGGCCCATTAGAACTTATCAGTAGAGAAAGAAATTTAATTTAAACTCACCCCTCTGTGCTAAAGAATGACTGGGACATGAGATCAAAGCGCGAAGCTCTGTCCTCCAGTGGTTTGCAACACCTAGGCACAATAGGGTGAGAGGACGCGGCATTCCAGTGCTGCCCCGCTTTCCGGACCCCGGAGCGAGGGGGTGGGGTGGGGGCTCGCATCACCAGCTGGTTTGAGGGAGGAGGGTGGTGGCAGCTCCGGAGGCGGACGTGTCAATTATATCCTGGAGCTCCTGGCTGCCAGACTGCACCTACCGGCGCCTGCAGGGGCTTTGTACGACAGACCCGCACTGCAGACCCTTTCCTTCCTCTCCCTGGGTACTGGGGTCAGTGGAACAGTGGACTTAACCACAGGCCAGACGTGGCTAGCGTCCTGTCACGCACAGGTGTGCATCCCTGAGAACTCCCTGAATACGTGCAGACTCGCTGCAGGATATCTTAAACCCACGTAGATGGTGCGTGCATAACCATCAACAATCGCAAAGTTTAAGAGGTGCCTAAAAGTGCCAAGCGCGAGAAAAAGTCTCAAGAGCAGCCATTTCTTCTCCTCGGACAGTCTGGGTGGAAGGCAGGTACCTTCTCCAAGAGAGTCTTATCTCCTTTCAGATGCCACCAAAATAGGCCCCAGCGTCCCCTGGTATCCAGCTCCTCAAAGGTCAACTGGGAAGGCCAAAAATTGGGAGGAAGCCCAAGAGAGGCTGTTGGGTTCTGAGTACGACACACTTAAGAAAGTTTCGTTCTGTTCAACAGGTACCGTGATTCTAGAGCTACCGACCAAAACTTCCCCCAGGAAGTCACCGCGGTGGCTACACTTACTTTGACTCCTGGTATTTAAAAGGGCAGGATGTTTCACAGCCAGTCAGACTCGATTATGTTTTCTCTATGCTAACAGTGTGGGGAAAGGTGTGAATCTGGCAAATTCATAATCAAATAACAAGAATAAAACTTCTCGCCTACAGAGCAGCTGCACCGAACGCCCAAGCAAGAAGAAGCGAGCAAATACAAGGGGGCGAGGGGGCTAGAGGGTGAAGGAGGGCATGAAGTCCAAGGCAAAGCCAAGGAGAAACCTAAGGAGTTTGGGAAGCACGACCTCGACCTGCCGTGGCCGCTCGGGCAGGGCCCGGCGCGGAGCGCACCCCCTCGAGCAGGCAGCAGGGCGGCTCCGAGCCCTGGGCGCTGGCGCGAGGCCGGCGCCGGCGGCGGGCAGGGCTGAGGATCCGGAAAGCTGGGGAGGCGAGGGCGGGAACTCTGGCCCTGGCCGGGCCTGGTCCCCGAGAGTCCCGAGGCGGACGCGGGGGAGGCTCACCGCGGCACTTGCAGGCTGGGCTCGCCCGGGGTCAGAGGCTCAGAGGAGGCAGGCCGCGGCCGGCCGGCCGGCGTCGGCGCGCTGCAGCGCGGGCGCGGGGCACAGGGTGGCGCTCGCTGTCCGTGCAGCGCGCGGAGGCGGCCGCCAGGCCTTTGTGTGCGCCAGCGCGGTCCAGCCGTAAGCCCGAGGGCACCGCAGGCCGGGGGACCGCAGCCCGCGGAGCAGGGTGGGCCGCGACCCGGGCACCGGCCGAGTGCCCGGAAGACCCCATCGCCCGGTTCCGCCCGCCGCTGCTGCCTCAGAGCCTGCCGCGCGAGGCCCCGGCCGGCCCTTAACCGCGCAGCGTCGGCGCCGGCCGGAGAGCGCCCGGCCGTCGGGGAGGGAAGGGAGCGCAGAAGGTGGCCCTAGCCGGGGTAGGAAACCTCCCCAGAGCTCAGGTAAAAAGAGCACGGAGGAAACTGGGGCTCTGGGCCGAGGAGAGAAGCAAAGGGCGCCCTCAGGTCCCCTCCAGGTCAGCCCGAGGGCCGAAGGTGAAGCCCGGCCCTTAGCCAGAAGCCCGGGGATGAACTTGAAATGGCTTTAGAACGACAAAAGCGGCAGCTGTCGCAGGCGCTGGACTCCTGTTCGGGTCACCCCAAGCACTCCTCGCCGTCCCCATTGCTCTTGGAGTCCCGACGGTCCTTAAGAACCAAAGCAAACGCGCCGCAAGGAGACGCCACCGAAAATTAAATTAAATTAAATTAAACACGCGCCCAGGGACTAAAGAAAATAGATCCCACTCCCCCTAGTGTAGCGAGTCAACACTTCCGCGCGTCGGAGTGCGGCGACTGTGAAGAGATGGCCACTGATGGCCACTGACGCGCGCCCCCTGACACCTCCGCGGATGGGGCCAAGACAGTAAGAACTGCCGGCTCGCTGTCACCCGGAAGCAGGAAATAAAACGGCACAAACGTTTTGCATTTTTTTTTTAAATAACAGCAACAAGACTTCAAAATAAAATGCCACTGGGAAGGAAAACCTTAACTTTAAATGAGAACATTAATCTCTTTTGATTCCTTACATAACTCCTTGAAATATACTGATGGAATATACTGAAATATACTGATGGTTGTATCATGCAATTCAGAAGGAAGGGAGGTAGAGAAAGAGGGAAGGAGAAATGAGAGCACACAAAAGTAATCATTTCGGGGGTTTTGTTTTAGTAAATAAGAACTGAACAGAAGCAGCAAAAATCAACAAAATTTAAAATAACAATCAAATCAATATTTCAAGGCTAGTTGAAAAATTGAACAAAATGTAGGCATTCTTTTATTATGTTTATATGTATATAACTATATATAAAACTACATATATATATTAGGGAACCTGACCTTTAAGATAATCCTCTATAATACAATATTTATTTTAAATAAATTTCTTTAAAGGCCTTCCATAACATTCCATTCAGTAATCTCACCAAAAGATCCACGGGGGAGATGAAAATGTTGGTGGCAGAACTATTGATCTACTCACTCAGGAGTTCAGTCTCATCACTTGCTTGTCTTTAATTTTTAAGTTTAGCATTCTCAACCCAAGGAAAGCCCAATAGAGAAGTTATGCCAAAGTTAAAGTGGAAAAGAGGCAAACCCACCCAGGAACTTTTTTTCAGTATCACATTTGTTTAAATTAAATCTCTAGCAAAAAAATATTATAGTTGTAGTTCAGCCTTACCATATACATATCTAAGTGTACAAGTTTTCAAAGATGGGTCAGAAGGAGCCAGGAAAAAACAAAACATAACAAAGAAAAGGACAGGCAAGACACACTCAACTTTGGACAAGCCATGAGGGAGGACATAAAAAGATTGGATTGAGCCAGGCAGCCCTCGTCCAGTCTCTGGAGGATGGGCTTATACATGCTGGCCTGACCTCTGGGTCAACAACTAGTTTGACTCTACCTTGATCTGAAAGACTAGAAGCTTGTCCTTTGGTTCAAAGTGAGACCCAGACTCTGGGTTCATCTGGGTGAGCTTCTAGCCACTGGTAAGTACTTAATCAGACAAAAGCAGGAAAAAAATCCGTTTTGCACTCCGTCCTCTGATATCCCCAGGGAGGATGTTCATCCCCAAAAAGGGAAACTCATCTAAAAATATTGCTCAACAGACCTCAAAACAAGCAAGCAAAGGCAAGGGTTGAAGAAGAACCAAAGTGAAAGTTTATAGATCTATGGGAGAAAAAATTAGTCCCCCTTTAATCACCCGAAAGAAATCTCCGACAACATCTCTTGTCATGATCCATTTCTCAAAACAAATGTTGATTCTGCATGTAATGCAACGATATTTTAAATGTACCAAGCAGCTTTCCTCTTACCTGCCACTACATTTAACTCCTTCAGAACCGCTCTCTCCGAATCCCTCTGCACTGCAACTTTCAATAAAAAAGAAACAACACTTAAACTGTGTTCTGCATGTTATTCCTAGGAAGAAAGTGACAGAAAGAAACCATTTTATTTTTAATAACCATTATCAAGAGCTATAGTATACTAAAGAATCAGAGCTAACTTGTATGTCTAAAATCATAAGGTTTGGAGCCCTCAAATATCTGCACACACAACAGGATTAAGGCTGTCTGCCACTTGGGCACAATTTGTATTATTCTAAAACATATCTAACCAAAAATCCTAATTGTTCCCTCTCCCCAGAATTCACAATACACTTCTCTGCATTTTTTCTTTGTTTCTATATATTTTAATGACTTTACATAAATTTCAGTGAAAACTATTCAAGATACCAAGTCTGGACTCAAGAGTGGAAAGAAGACAAACAGAAAGAAAGAAGCTAAACTTGTTAGAATCTCAACACACTAACTTTTTATTCAGTTTGATTCAAAATAATATTGATCTAATAGTGAAATAGTTTGAAATAACATCAATCAACATTTGAAGTATTTCATGTTTCAAAGTATGGCTCAAGGAACACCCATTGCTTAAATGCACTTAGACGTAACAAGACAATATTTTTTATTGGCATCATTGACACCTTTGAACAATAGCCTAGTAAATAGATTAAGGTTTAACCTTGCTTTTCTTTGGTGGCTGTTTAGAGACTTTAAAAGAACAGATAACTCATTTCAACAGGAATCTACTACTGATATTTACCTCTTCATAATCTTTAGCTCAGCCATGGAATGCCAAAAACAAGCTTTTGTTAGCTTGACCTCCTCCACCTCCTAACAATAGAAGTTATCCCCAAACCCATGTTTTGATTTTAGATGTATTGATCTTCCAATGTAAGGCTTGGCCTTTTAAATACTAAATGCAGTCAACAGCCAACAACCTGACTCTAGCAACACTGCCAAGGAAGCAGAATGGGGAAACTTCTTTGAATTGTTTGGTGACAATACAAATTTTAAGAGGTCAGTAAATCCTGATGCCATGAGCTAAATCTACTGGTAAATAATTACATTTCTTAGACACTATATTCTTTATCTTGGTAAACAGAGAAAACACAGCTTTTCCAAAAGGATCTTTCCATCTAAGTAATATCTTAAAAGGCAATTATTTAAATATTATCACAAAACAGGATCGTATTTTCTTTAAATTAGATATTTAAACTGAAGATAAAAATGCAAATATCCATAGTTTTAAAAGGGGAAAAAAATACAAATTAACTGGCCTAGTCTTTTATCTGAGTTTATTAATACCATTTAAAATATTACAAATAAATCAATTACACTTCATGCATTTAAAATGCAAGTCTAAAATGTTCCAGAGAAAGGCTTTTCATTTCAATGTGAAATATCCAAATTATTTCAACATTACAATGAGCAATTAGTTTGCAGAATCTGCAAACATTTCAATGTGGTGTCAGGAGTGTTTATTAACAGTTAACAATATTACCTTCAGGAAATACACAAAGGCCAAAGTTAGTCGAGTTTCACTTGGACAATTTATTTAATACATGGGTTTTGGCAGACCCAGTTATTGTGAAATATAGGAGAACTCTTCACTTTAACTATGCCTGAACTGCCAGCAAATGCAAATAAGTACATGCTCCATTAAATTAAATGTCATCCAACATTTATCAAATATTGTCTTAGTTACAGTTTGATACCTATCTAAATTCATATTCGAGCAAAACTAGGCCCCGAAAGTGCGTTTCTGGCTCTGCACCTCCAGAAATGAGTTCAAAAAAACTGCAGCTCATCAGAACCGCAACAATAACTCTTAATAATTTCTGTGACAAAAAAAAAAAATCAAGTTTACTTCAATATATTTTCAAATATTTACTGGAAGTAATGTACAAGAAAAATACTATACAAAATCGTCTCCTGGACAACTGCACCTCACACTGTCACACTGATGGTTGTATTTAATTGGAAGCTAAACTAGAATTATTCTCCAGTGTCACAAACCATTAGGGTCAGATGTAGTTTAACAAAGTTTTCATTTTTTTTCCAATTTCCCTCTTTTGGCATTTAAACTACTGCCTCATTTGATATAAATGATAGCTTCTTCACATGTTTTTAAGTTTTGATCACAAGAAAAGGTTTAACCATAAAATCTTCGTGAAATGTGAGAATTTACAGGAAGAGGTACTATAAAAATTGACCACTGAACTAGGCAAAAAAAAAAAAAAAAAAGATTGGGAGATTATGCTAGGGAATGGTGAAAACCGAGGTAGAAAGGACAAACAAGAAGACAATCTGGTTTCACCGGAAAGGGGGTATTTTTGCATAAGAAAAAGACACCTACTCTCACCCCCGCCCCCACCCCATAAGTTAAATTACTGCGATCAAAATAACTTTGGGATTAATATCAGCACAGTTTTGAAAGATGTGCTTACTGATAAAGGGGGGAAAACTTATCTAGAAGGGAAAATAAGTGGAAAGTTGCTTCTTTTTTCCCCCTTCGTATTTTAGTTTTAAAAAACGTTATAAAGATGAAAGGCTGCTGCAGCTACTCTCTAAGACCGCCCTCTGCTGAAATTTGCATCGGTTCCACCTCAGGGAACAAAGGAAAAGCAAGCAGAGCTGATGTTGGGAAGGCTAAACTCTGCAAACTCTCCCGCGTCTAGGTGCTGCCAGACCGGCACCCCACGGAGCTTGGACTGCCGGCGCAGGTGTGGGGGAGCTCAGCTGCTCAGCAGGGCGCTCCCGGGCCGGCCCAGGTTGCCCAGGATTGTGGTTATAGGACCCAGGCGGCCGGGCGCCTGCACAGTCGGGGTTGTCTCTCCCCAACCCTCCTCACTGCTCAGGCTGAGGCTGATGTAGCCGGGTGGTTCCTGCCAACTCGGTGGTCCCTGGTCTCCCAGGCACTGGATTCGTCCAGATCTAACTCCAAAGGCCGCTGACCTCTAAACGTTATGCTAACCTGGGATTGGATGAGGGAAAGCGCTGCCCTGCATTCGGGCGGGGTTGCCGTGGGGAAGGAAAACCAGGGCCTGGGACTCCCAGACTTGTTACTTACATGTCCATAACCCCTTTACAGAGTTAAGTCAAGGGAGGGAGAAAGAGACAAGAATGATCGAGAGGGCGAGCAGGGTGCATGGAGAAAGGCTGCAGTCGAGGCCAGGACAGACGAGGCCAGGGCGCACCCAGGTGGGAGACAGCTGGGGAGAGAGGCGAGCGCCTGCGCGCGTCACTCCAGGCCGTTGCGGTGGCCTGGCTCGGGGGGCTGCAGCAGCTCCGGGGAGTGGCAGGCGGGGCTGCCCGCAGCGCTGTGCTCGCTGTCGGTGTCACTGCCCTTCTTGCCGCCGCTGCCCGAGCCCGCCGAGCCGCCACCTCCGCCGCCGCTGTGTGTCTTCACGTGCTTGCTGAGGTGGTCGCTGCGCATGAAGCGCTTGTTGCAGACCGGGCAGGCGAAGCGCTTCTCGCCGGTGTGGGTCCGCAGGTGCCGCTGCAGCTCGTCGGAGCGCGTGAAGCGCTTGCCGCAGAAGAGCCAGTTGCACACGAAGGGCCGTTCGCCCGTGTGCCAGCGCAGGTGCGCCTTCAGGTGCGACGTCTTGCCGTACACCTTGCCGCAGCCCGGGATGTGGCAGCTGTGCAGGCCCTTGCGTCGCAAGCTCGCTCCTGCCGGGCCCAGCCGCTCCGCCTCCTGGCAGTTGGGGCAGTCGCAGGTGGCCCGGCCAGAGTAGCGGCGGGCGGAAGAGCGCGGGGAGCCCCCCAGCGGCGCCGACGGCCCCGCGCTCAGCATGGCGCCACCCGCGCCGGCCAGCGGCGATGGTGCCGAGTCCGGGTAGGAGCCGGGCAGCACCGGCTTGAAGCCGTCCATGAGGTGCTGCCCCGCGGGGCTGAGCAGGTGTGAGGAGGCGCCGCTGCTGAAAGCCGAGTGGCCGAGGCTCGAGTAATCCGAGTTGTAGCCTCCGAGCGGAGAGTGTAGCGAGCTCTGTAGCCCCCCGGCGGCCGGGTGCAGCGAGCCGGGCAGCGCCGCCGCGCCGTTTGGGTTCTGCACGTCGATCCAGCCCGCGCCCACGTCCCACCAGCTGGAGGCGCCGGCGGAGCCCACGTCGCCTGCGGCCCCCAGGCCCGGGTGCGAGGGCTTGAACCACGACTCGTAGGGATGCGCCATGCCCACGCGCGGGTAAATGCCCTGCAGCCCGTCCACCGAGGTGTGCACCTTGGAGATGAACACTGGCTGGTGCGAGCCGTCCTGCGAGTGCGCCGAGGACCCGCCGCCGCCGCCGCCCCCGCCGCCGCCACTGCCCCCCGACACGCCAGGGGCCGGGAACACCGAGTAGTCGTTGGCGAAGGGCGCGCTGGAGGCGGCGGCCGCGGCGGCGGCGGCGGCGGCGGCGGCGCTGCTGGAAGTGAGCGAGAAGGCGCTGGAGCCGGGGGAGCCGCCGCAGCTGAACGAGTCGGACACCAGGGCCGCCGCCGCCGCAGCAGCAGCAGCGGCCGCCGCCGCCGCCGAAGAGGAGCCGCCGTTCCGGGAGGCCCCGGACACGCCAAAGCCGGAGAGGCTGGAGCCCACGACGTTGCAGCTGCCGGAGGAGGAGGACGACGAGCGTTTCCAAGGGTGGAATCCTTTCCCGAAGGAGGAAGAGCTGTCTGAGAGGGAGGAGGGAGACGGGCTGGGACTGCCGATCTTATTGCAGGTAGCGGCCAGCATGGCCAGAGGAGTGGATCCCAACCTCGGTTCTTCCTGCGGAAAGGAGAGAAGGTGGGGGAGGGGTGGTGGGCAAAGGGCCGGTGGGGGAGGGAGGGGAAAGAAGCGCGTTAGTCCGGCGGTAGCCTCCACGACGCCCCGCTGCACCCCATCTCTCGCTGCGGTGCCGCCACCACTCACCTGGCGCCCCCAACAGCCCCGGCGCCCGGCGGCTTCCTACTCTACGGGAGGGGACAAGTTGGGCTGCCGGCGTCTGACTCCGCAGCAAAGCGCAACGCTAAAGAAGAGTTTGACAAGTATTCTCACCTAAAACAACACTCTTGTGTACAGAAGGCCCCAGACACTTCGAAGCAAACAAGCAAAAAGTCCAGATTGGGGAGGAAGGAAGTTTCCTTTGCCGACAAGCATGGGGCGAAAAGCATTTGGACTGCTTTTAAGAACGCTTCCCCTGTAATCCAGAGAGAGCTTTGAAAAATCCTGTTCCGGTCCCCCAGAAACCCATCCCGGGTTGTTTCTCCCAGGCCAAAAGAGATCAAACAGGAAGGTTCACTCCCAGTCTATCTACTATAGTAAAAAGGAGTTCAACGTACCTGCAAGACAAGACGGGCTGCGATTTTTTTTTTTTTTTTTTAAGGGGAAAGAGGTGAATCTGCAATTTGGCCAGGAGGAAAACCTTGCTCTCTTTACCCCCGAGATCGTCGCCTGAAAAGTGGGCTGGGCGCAGGTCTCCCGGGCTGGGAGCAGCCAGGCGCGGCGAGGTGGCTCGGCTAAATGCCCCTCCAACCTTTTCCTGTGCTGAAAAAAGTGGCTCGGCCCCCCTCTCCTCCTTTCTTTTCTCCAAACTCACTTGTATTTAAAGAAGAAAAAAAAAAAAAAGCTTTCAATAGAGAGACTGATAGCCCGTGGCCTGGCCGGGGCGACTTTAACCCCCTCCGATCGGCAATAAAAGGAAACTAATTAAACCAGCAAGAGAAAATCCTGAGACTCACCCCTAGAAGTGAAGTTGCCATCACACAAAAGTGCCCTCCTCCTCTCAGAGGATCTTTTTTATATTGATAAATCAGAGGCAGTGTTTTTTTTAGAGGTGTGCAATACAATGATCAGTTCCGCCCATTCCACCACAATTGTAGCTCCCTCTCCGGCTTTGAAGTGCCGCGGAGGCGCAGCCAGCCAATCTGCGGGCTCGCCGGGCCGCGCCGCGCGCGCGCCGTGAGGTCATCGGCGCCGCCGGTGAGGGGGGTGGCAAAGGAGGGGAGGCGGGCCGGTGTGTTGCAAAGTGCGTGTGTGTCTGTGTGTGTGTACGTGTGCGCGCGCGAGACCTGGCCCAAGAACTAGGGGACAGTGCAGATGGGGACAGGATGCCATTGTGACAGTGCCACAGAGACACTGAGAAGGGGAGAGTAGAGAGCGCAGGAGAGTGTTGTGTGTGCTGTGTAACTGCGTGTGCGACACTGGGGGTGCGCAGAGGGACCGAGCGGGAAAGTATGGAGGAAGGGTGTGAGTGCACGCGCATGTAACTGTGTGCGACGAAGCTAAGGGAAGAAGAGGGTCATTGCGGTAAAGCAGGAGCCGGGAGAGGAGGGATGTGTTTGGTGAGGGTGAAGAAGGAGGGGTGCCAATGTGTGAGCTTATGCGAGAGAAGAGGAAGGGTGTGAGCCCGCGCTTGTGTTCATGTGTGTGCGCGCGCTTGTGTGTGTGTGCGTGTGTGCGCGCGCACCAAAGCTGGGGGTGGGGAATAGAAACAAGACAAAGTGTTCGTGCGCAAGAGGGAGATTGGCGATTGGAAGAAACTGGCTACGAAGTTGAGTGAGGCTGGGTAAATAAATATTCGCAAATGTCACCAACTTCCTGTGGTTCCCTTTAAAATCTTGAAGGTTGTTTTGTTTTGTTTCGTATTTTGGTGTTAACTTGTACGCTCACATCTTTGTAGGCAAAAAGACTTGCCCTTTCCCTGCGTGGCTTTCCAGCTAAATAGGGAAAAAATTGGAAGTTGGAGAGGTTTTCTTTGGGGGTAGAGGTGAGGACGTATGTGAACCCGCACCCATAAGTTGTTACTTTGATGTGATGGTGCATTTTCCTCTTCTTTTTTCTGAGGTGGGCTTCTGCCTTGGAAGTGCACGTTTCACTCTAGGAGAGGAGGTGTGTTTGTCCCGCGGTGTTGTGTAAATTTCAATACAAAAGGATTAGAAAAAGGAGCAAGAGAGGGCTATTTTTACTTTGGATGAGAAGTGGGGAGTGTATTACAGAAATTTAAAAGTGTTCACAGGAAATCCTACTGCCTCTTGAAGGGAAAAAATCAGGCTTTGATTAAAATCTATGGGTTCTATTTATGCAAAAACAGACACAAGCTTTTGATAAACTTTGAACCAGAGTTATGGAGGTGTCTCTAACAGTGATGGGCCAGAGATCTACTAGTATGTCCATGTTAATATATAAACTCAGTTGAAATTCAGTGGGTTTTAGTCATTTGTTTGCCATTTGTGTTAGTAGGTGCAGTCAGAAATGTAATTACAATTCCCTTGCCACGGTAAGGGACTTCTTAAACCACAGGAAGTACACCAGGGTAGCAAAAAGTTCATAGCCCTATTGAATAATCATGTTTTAAAACCACAGTCATTGTATTTTTAAGCAGCTACAAATGTTTTCACAAGTCTACTTTTAAGTTGGAATTGACTAAAAGGTGATTAGGTTGGAGCACTATTTTGTTCTGGCTGGAGAAACATTCTTACTTTATTGTTGCTGTTGAACTCTCCTGGAGGATGTCAAAGCTTCTGGAGATGTCAAAAGAATCCTCCCCGGTTTACTGAATTCCAAAGTCAGGTTGCTTCCTTGGTGTACATTTCATTGAGCCGAGTCGACGGTTTGTGGAATGAAAGTTTGGATTCCCGACTTCTTTTTAATATGTGGGGATATTGACTGTACATCATATCTATTGATTAAGGGGATAAGGGACACACTCATACTTTAAAGTAAGTGTGAGGTAAATTAATGAACTGCTTTCTTTTTCTGAAGGCTGACGCTTACCATAAATGTCGTGTTTCTCTCTGCAAGCCGCTCTGAATGATTTCAGCGTGTTGAGAAGGCGTGACAGGCCAGCCCAGGAGGAGGAAGGGGTGGGGGAAGGAGGGAACTCCGTTTAACAAATAAAAGAGAATTAACTTCATTGCTTTGGTATCTTTCTATAATAATATTCATTTTAAGGACCTAATATACAGTTGTTCAAATTTGGGGTTTAATTCTAATCAATACTGTCACCCTCAAAGGTGCAGAAAAAAGCTTTGAGGGAAGATGCCTTTCTATGAATAGTTGTTTTATCTTTTTTATCCTATCTTCTGGAAGGAGGAGAGGCAGGACTATTAAAATCTTAAATGCCAATTCTGAGAGTAAACAGGGGTGTTAACCACTGTTTCCTCAAAAATGCCAGGAATTAGAAAAATTCAGCATCATGTGACTGCAGTTTGGAGTTACCTAAGTCTAAGATGTTTCATTTGTGTAAATTCACCTTAGAATCATATGTCATTCTTCTGATGACAGTCACAATGTTGTGGATTTAAAGAAAATACTGAATTTTTCAACTTGCTTCAGCCTGGCTTGCAGCATTTGAAGATTTTCAAAGGTTTTTATGTGCATATATATATATATATATATATATATATATATATATATTCCATTTACTCCCATTATAAAAGCAAGGAGTTTATTTCATAGTAGCATTGGCCAAAGAACTTTTTTCCCCTTCTACTTACTATTCCCCTTCGGTGGGCCCCCAAGAAACGTTTAATATTTATGCCATACGGTATAAAACAGCAAAATTAAAAGAAAAACAAAGAGAATGATATAATTGACCAAAAATTAAAGCAGTCATAATCTTGCTCTCCATTTAAATGAACTAGTCTCGAGGCAGCACTTTCTACCCTTTGGAGAAGGTGCCCCATCATGTTAGACTCCTGTCCCACAGGAAAGAACAACTGTAAGCCCTAGCAAATACAGTCAACCTGGGTAAGCATTTGAGGGTAGAGTCCAGTGTACCTTTTATTATCATGATCATTATTTTTAAATATCCTATCATGGTACTAAAGATGTTTGGAAGAGGGAGGGAAAGGAAAATAGCATGTACAGGTTCTCTAATATCAATTAATTAAAAGTTTCCCCCACCCCATATGAAGTTTGCTGTGCTGGCAGGGAAAGGGGTAGCTGGATATTCTGCTATTTCTTGCAAACCTGTGGGATCCACTATCAATAAAGCTAAAATCTATTAGCATTCTGTATGCATCTGCAGCATAAATTTCATTTGAATTTCAAATTTAATAAACCAGGAGGTTTTTAATCATCCCTGGTTTTATTTGTTTGATATTAACATGCTTATTGACCGGGTCTGGTGACCAGTTTGATCATTACAGGACAGCAAAAAGTTAATTAAAACGACCACAGCCCCTTAATCATATCATCTGTCTCATCCATGTCGCTCTCTTTATTACCAGTGATGATGGATAGTCTCCCAGATTAATTTCTCTGTTTCTTCGATTTGGACAACAGCTTTTGGGACCTAATTTACATCCCGGGAACAACTTGCTCAAGTATATCTAACACCTTGCAGCTACAATATACATCAAGATCTGCTCAGATGGAGTGGGGAAATGGAGCTTTGCCTGCAGGCGAGTTTGAAGAATAATGAACGCTCCTATGCTTTAGCAACCAAAAAAACCAGAAGGTCCTAAAAGCAAATTAGAGGTCTGGATCTCTGCTTATTCTTGTGTGAGTGTAGGAGTGAGATATGCCTCCACTGTTTAGTTTATAGATTAAAATATGTAGAAACAGCGATAAGTAAAGCCATTTGTCACCACTGAATACAGTTAGGGATTGATAGTCGAAAACATCAAAGTTACCCAGGTTTTCAAGTGACTACACCAAATGCACACCATATATCTACACCAAATATAGTCTTCAATGTTCATTGTGGTCCGAGACATACACAGCACTAAAGAAGGACGTCTAACGGGAAAAACTGCACAGGAACTGCAGTGCGAGCTCTGCTGAGAACGCTCACCGCGGCTCTTAGCCTCTGGGTTTCGGGAGCTTTGGTGGGGACGCGCACGCTCTGCAAGCTGCCCCCGAGGGTGCCGGCCCAGACCCAGTGGACGTGGTGCAAGCGCGGTGCGAGTCCCTGGCAGGAACCTCTCCCCGGATGCGAAGACGGCACCAACCCCTGGACACCTAGTGGGGACCCAGCGCGCGCGCGGACTCGTCGCCTGCTAAATAATAAAGCGTGCAGAGGGTTAGGGAGCGGGGCGCAGCGGGCAGCTGCCGAGAGCGGCGGGCTGAGCCAGGCGGTGGGGAGTTCCCGGTCGGCACTCTCTGGTCAAAGTTGCTTTCCTGTTAAAAAGAAAGCCTGGCTAGGCTCGGACCTTGGATTCCTGAGGGGTTCCCCTCTGTGGTCCATCTCTGCCTTCGGGTGGCTTTACTACGAAGTTGCCTAACATTTCCTGGGAAGGGAGGTAATAAAAGCCCCTCGCTGGTGGCAGATTGTTGAGCCGTAGGTGGGAAGAGATCAGCCTGCGAGAGCTCAGAGAGGGCAGTATGTTCCTGATTGGAAAATAGGAACTTCCACGCTGAACAATAGCCCCTATTAGTGAGGTTATTCGGTTTCAAACTGTCCAGCCACATTTACAGCCGAGTCCTTACTTTGCTGGTCCTGCTTAATTGGATGCATTTGTTGACCCTAGAGAAGCAGTAGTGACTCCTGATCTGCTGGCTTAGGGTCTCCTAGTTGATGCAAAGCACTGCCTTAGTGAGTCTTAATAAATGGGAGAGAGCATTTCTTTCTTTCTTTTTTCTTTACTGACTCGATATTTTTCTTCTGCTTTTCCTTAGTATTTCCTTTATTCTTTTCTGCCGCTTCAAACATTCAAAAGTTAAAGTGAGATTTACTCATGTAACCTATGTTGTAATAATACTGTAAGAAGCTTTGGTTTTTCTTA